AAGAGGAGTCGGAGAGTACCCGTATCGTTCTGGCGCCCAAGTCGCGGGCGGCCGTCATCCCCGCCAAGATGGCCTCATATTCGGCGGCGTTATTTGTCTTCAACGCCCTGAACCTGATTGCGATTTCGTGCACCACGCCAGCAGGTGTACGCACTACAACCCCTGCTCCCGCGCCGTACTTGCTCGCCGCTCCATCGACGTAAACTTCCCAAACACCCTCCGACGCTGTGTCGAGGGTCACCCCTTCTGCGATGAAATCAGCCAGGATTTGGGCCTTTATTGCTGGTCTTGGTGCGTATTGGATATCGTATTCCGAAAGCTCGACCGCCCATTTCACCATGCGCCCCGATACTTCCATCGAGGTCAGGATCTTTTTTAGCGGAAGGTTTGTCAGGACGGTGATTTGGTGCGCTTGGAAATACGGGCGCAGTTTCTGTGACGCACTTACTAGCGCCAAGGCAGCTTTCTCGATCGAGGAGTATCTTGTCTCCGCGCTTACGAGGGTGCGCGAGGTGTAATATACCGGTTGCTCGGTTTTACCGTCCCTTCTGGATATCAGTACCGCGCTCACAGCCCTTGTTGACACAGCAAGATACAAGAAGAGTTTTTCATTAAGCTTGGGGGCAGTCAGTACAGGGGGGATACAAGATACGCCTTGAGTTCTTGGAATGCCGCTTCGCATTTCGGGGACCATGTGAAACGCGCCCCATTCTTGAGCGTCTTGAAGAAGGGAGCACACTTGTCGGCAGACCTAGGAATGAACCTTCCCAGTGCCGCTATTTTGCCGTTCAGAGATTGGATTTCCAATGCGTTCCTCGGCGCTCGAAGTTGTTGGACTGCGGAGATTTGTTTTGGGTCAACCTCTATGCCGCGCTTCGTTATCATGAATCCAAGGAATTTCCCTGCTTCGGCTCCGAAAACGCACTTGAGTGGGTTGAGGCGGAGGTTGTGCTGGCGGAGGGCTTCGAATGTCTCGCGCAGGTCTTCCAGGTGTGAGTTGCCCGCCTTTGTTTTGACGATAAGGTCATCCACATATGCCTCAATGTTTCGCCCGATCTGCCGGGAGAACACCGCATCAATTATTCTCTGGTACGTCGTGCCTGCGTTCTTCAACCCGAATGGCATCCCGACGAAGCAAAAGTTTCCGAACGGTGTCATGAACGCCGTCTTCTCTTCGTCTTCGATGGACATTGGGATTTGGTGGTATCCTGAGAACATGTCGAGGAAGGATAACGTCTCGTGGTCGGCGGTTGCGTCGATCAGTTGGTCGATGCGCGGTAGGGGGTACGGGTCTCCCGGGCATACTTTATTGATCGTGGTGTAATCGACGCACATCCGCCAGGCCCCCGATGATTTTTTAACCAAGACCACGTTTGCCAGCCACTTTGGATATTTCACGGGGCGGATCAATCCTGCCGCTAGTAGGCGCGCTACCTCCTCCTCTATGGCCTTCAGTTTGTCGCCAGTGAATATCCTTCGCCCTTGTTGCCTTGGTTCCGCGTTGATTGGGACCGCGAGGCAATGCTGGGCTATTTCTCTGGGCACTCCTGGCATGTCTTATGTGCACCAAGCGAACAACTCCTTGTATTCCTTCAGCAAGGCTACGAGCGATTCGATCGCGTCACTGTTGACGTGAGTGGAGATGCGTATCTTCCTAGTCGGCTCGGCGGGATCCAACGCGACTTCGAGGTCGGAATCCATGGACTCCGGGCGGGTCTCTTCTGCTCTTGTGTCGACGATGTTGGTCTGGCGCACCTCATCGCGCTCTTCCCATGTCGTTCCTCGCGCCTCTCCGACCCCTGTTTGGGTGGGGAATTTGAGTTTTTGGTGGCACGTTGATGGGAGGGCCATGAATTTCGCCAGGAACGGTCGGCCAAGGATGCCGTTGTGTGCCGACTTACAGTTGATGATCGTGAATTCCACTTGCTTGGAGATGCGTGGCTCTTGGTCTCCGATTACTACTGGGAGGGTGACTACTCCAATTACTGGGACCCTCGTTCCGGAGAACCCGACCAGATTGCCTTGCGCGCGTTTGATTAAGCGCGGGTCGATGTCCATTTTGTCAATGGTGCTTTGGAAGAGGATGTCAGCTGCGCTACCTCCGTCTATCAGCAGACAGTGGATTTTGCATCCGGCAACCAGCGCGGTGATGATGAGTGGGTCTTCTGATGGGACTTCTCGTGGGAACTCCGCATCGTCGAAGCTCAGGTTGAACTTCGTCCGCGCGTCTACAACCGCGCATTCCGTTGCGCGCTCTCGCTTGGTTTTCTTCTTGGGGCGGTCTCCTTCTACCGTTACCACCCCTATTTCTTTGCGTACCACGTACGCGCCGCCGGCGTCATCGTTGTAGTTGGCCTGTGGTGGAGGTGGCGGGTTTTGGGGGCCTTCGACTTGTTCTTCCTTGACGTGGGTGAACTCGGTTAACAATCCTCGATTTATGAGGCCCTCGATTTCGTACCGTAGCTCGCGGCAGTCTTCTGTCCAGTGACCTGTTGCTCTGTGGAAGTCACAGTGCTTGTTTGGATCGCGCATGTGAGGTCGGGACTTCAACGGAGCAGGCCAATTGAGCTTGTAGCCCTTCTCGCGGAGAACGTGGAATACGTTTCTCACGGAGTCGTTAAGTGGCGTGTAGGTGTTGGACGCTCGTCTATCTGGTGATCGTCGGCGCTGAGCTTGTTCTTGCGGGGGAGGAGGGTGTATTTTTGGGCCACTGTGCAGCTGTACCAATTGGTCTCGTGGGATCGGGGCCGGAGGTTGCCGATGCCCCTGTTCTTCGCGCTGCAACTTTGCCGGTTCGAAGCGCCTGACCGATCCCGCCCCGAGAGTCTCTTCCAACGTGATTGCCTTCTCGATTTTCATTTCCAATTCTGTGGATAGGGTTACAGGCCTTTTCGCTAGCGCCCGCTTGAGCTCCATGTTGCAAGTGGCCTCCATGAGGTGATGGGCAGCGGTTTCGGGGGTAAGGTCGCGGACGGCCATTGCCACCCTGGACCATCGAGCGTAGAAAGCCCTCAGGCTCTCACCCTCCTTCTGCCTGATATCTATCAACGCCTTGAGATGCAGAGGACGCCTCTTATGGGACGCGAACTTTGTTGTGAACAGGAGTATGAACTCTTCGAATGAGCGGATGATTCCGTTCGGGAGTCTGTTGTACCAGTCGATGCATATTCCAGAAAATGTTGACGGGAAGGTCCTGCACAGCGCCGCGTTGGAGTTGCATACGCAAGCAGAAAGTGCTCACGTGGTCTTCTGGGTCGGTCGTGCCGTTGTATGTTGGGAGGGTGGGTGGCGCTCCGCTTAGGTTCTCCGCCATAATTTGCGCGCTCAGCGGCTGGTGGAGGACCCTCTTAGGCGGGTTGGGTCGGTATTGCGGAGACAAGTGTGCTCTAAGAAGCTGAGGTCCGCCCGCCCTGGTGGTTCAATTCCCTGCGTTTCGCACGCGGGGAATTCCGTTGGCGCGTGTTGTGGTAGTTGGGCGGTTCCCGACGCTTCTCCCAAGGCTTGTTGAGGTGCGATCGCCGTTGCGTCTGCTGTTGGCGCGGTCTCCTTGCTCATCATGAGCGCGATGACTTGGCTCATTTGTTTCTGCATGTCAGCTATGACGTTGTTTTGCTTTGTCACCAGCTCCCTCATTTCTTTGGCTGTCAGTTCGGGCTCTTCGTCTTCGATGAGCACCGCGTTGAGGTTGCTGGCTTCTGCGAACGCCCTCGGGTCGGTCATTGCCTTGATTGGCGTCGCTTCGTCAGGTTGGTCGTGGTTGCGTTCTGCCATTGATGGATTTTCTTCTGCGTTTCTTCTTGGCCCCACGGTGGGCGCCAATTGTGTGAACCTAACTGAGTGTAGGAGTGAGGTTCGGGAAAGAAAGTGGGTCAAGGAGAGTAAACAACAGAAAATCCACGGTATGGCGTAGAACAAAGGGCTGGGAGGTTGAGAGAGTCGGTCTTTTAGAGAGAGAAGTTGATGTTCTTAGAGATAGAATGCTAAAAATGCGATCCCCTTCACCCACCGGAGTAAATGCCATATTTATAGGCTACATGGTGGTGGGTGAGTGGGTGGATTACATGATGGTATTTTGACCTTGACATGACCTTGACATGACTACTGACACGTAAGGGATTTAGGCCATTCCTCTACCTAGGACGTGTCAGAGGTGTACCTACGACCATCTCTCGGATCCCAACGTGGCCGGCCCTCGGGGAGTGTGGGCGAGACTCCTCGTAGCCCTGTGGCTTAGTACTCGCTTGGCACTCTCAGTACGCGCGTGGCTTGTGACGCGCCCGGCTCTCCGCGCCTTGATGCTTCTCACCCGCGCGCAGCTTGTGAGGGGTTCAGGGTCTTCGCGCGTTGATTCTTCCCATCCGCGCACATGCTGTGGCGCGCCTTAGGCTCTCGCGTCTGGGCTTATGTCAGCGCGTCATACCTTGCGCGGCTAGGTCCGAGTCACATGCCCAACACTAATCTACAAACCCCAAAAGGCCAAAACCCATATACACTTCATCCAAACCCTACCCATACTAAATGGATTTATTTGGATTTGGGTAAAATTACCCATGGGTGGGTAATTGTCATCCCTAGTTGGGTGGTTACACATAACACCCAATAATGCATCTAATGTAGTGGTCATCCATATTAATATTTACATAATATTTGATTCATTATGAGTTTGGGAACCAACCACTACTATATAAAATAGAGATTATGTCTCGATAAATAAAGTTAAAACATACAAAAAATCTGGATATTTCATGTAATTGCAACTTTTTTTTAACTAAAAATGATCTATTCAAAGTAAAAGCATAAACAACTCAAGCAAAATTGTATAGAATTATAGATTTTAAACAGAAGGAATTGAGAATAGTGGTGGACGTTTATGTTTTATGTGATGAAATAAGTGCAAAATAAAATTCTAATGTACCGACTACCGACAATCACTTTTAGAGGGTCGTGCAATGCAAGGGTCGATACTTTCACCAATTATTATGTCTTATTGTAAGGAAAATTCGTTTACAGGCCCCATGAGAGCTAGATGATCATCAACCCATTTTTTGGTTGTAAAAGACCAACAAGAAAAAAAAAAAAAACGTAAATAACAAATAATTTGATATGTAGAGCTGCTAAAATATGTGAATGGAAAATGTCATATAATTAATTGTTCATTCCAAGCTTTTCCTTGGCGGTCTCAGCAGCTCCCTGTGCCTTGGCTTGCATTTGGGAACCAGCCTACCAACACATAAGCAAAAACAACAAAAGATGGATTAAGTACAAATTAATTATAATATTTTGAAACAAAGGGTTGTGCTTAAATATCTCAAATATACAGCCTATTAGGTCAAGAAGATATGTAAAACTCAGATTTGGATGAAGAGCATTGTATTTTTACCTCTTGGGCGGATTCTTTGGCAGACTGGGCAGCATTGCTCGCCTTGTCCATCAAGCCGCTAGCTTTCTCCTGCAAAATTGAAATACAAGAAAATGTGGGAGGCGTTTTTCTTTATAGTAGTTGTGATTTGACTACTATAAACACTTGTACTTTTATTGTCGTCAGCTTTTTCGTCTTAACTATGTACATGACCGATGATAACCATGAACATAAATCAAATCCTAGCTACTACCTTAAGAGAACAAATCGAGGATGTTATGATTTATCTATAACGAATCAATCACCTGAGTTTGGGCCTTGGCTTGGCCGGCTTGGTAGCTCGCGCTCTGGGAATTGTTCATCTTCGAGTTTTTGAGAGGACAACTTTTGGTAACTAAGAAAAAGGGGGGAAATCGTGGGTGTAGTGGAAATAATACAAAGGTGTATGTTGGATGATGGAAAGATTTGTGATTTCATGTCAAATTTATAGTCGTGTTACACGTTCGTAGTGGGAAACTAGTTTGTGATTAATCAAATGGTGGTTTGAAGGTTTCAACGACCTAATTTGAGAAATACGCTATATGTTAAACGAGATGTGTGGGAATGACTTTCAGCGTGGGAGAGTGATCTTAGGAGTCTTTTACGATTTGGTCGATAATTAGAAGCTCTATTTCCAAAAGTAATAACCAAATAGTTAATTTTATGATTCAAGAAGCGACAAGTAATAATTCAAACGAGACAACGAATCATTAGATTACTATTTTCCTAGCACAATATTTACCATTTTTTTATTATATTACTATTTACTGACATCCTCCACGACGTAAACTATTAGAGCATCTCCAACGGTTTGACTCTCCCCACTTGCATTCCTACGTGGCCCCAACTTGCAATTTCAATTGCCCATTGCACCCATGTCATGTGAGTGGCAATTGCAAATATGGGAACTTTCATCTAGTGAAAGTGGCTTTGCAAGCCACGGTGGATTTTGTGCTATAATTTTTTTTTTCTTGGTTTAATTTCAATGCCCACTTTTGGCTGCATATGCCATAGATTTAATTATTATTGGAATTTTTTGTATAATTTCCATGGACCATGTGTTAAATTAGTATTATTGTAATTTTTGTATCAATGGGAGTAAATAGCATCGTATACTAATTTTATTAATTAAAATAAAATATACATACTAATATAAAAATAAAATTAAATTTTTATTACTTTAATTTCATATTTACAAATATCAAAATTATTATATTGATTTGCTGAAAATATTAACTTATTCTTTTATTCAATGTTCATTGCCATTGTAATTTAAAATGCATAAACATTGTAATTTAAAAATTGTTTTTTAATGCATTAAAAAAATTTAGGCCTCATATGCAATTGCAATTTAATTGCACCAATGTAGGTACAATGAAAGTAAAGTGAGTTGGCTTGCAAAAATGGTGTTGTGTCAAAAAAATCACAAATGCAATTGCACCAATGGAGATGCTCTTATAACTCGTGATTGTTTTAATTATCCATATTACCCTGATCGTCAATCTAACACGTTTCGTGGTAATGTTGAGCAACCCTAACGTAGATTGTAAATTTAGCAAGAAAGTTCAAGAACTGAAGCTTTGCACCACATGCTTGTTAAACTTCATATTGTATAACTGAGAGGGAGCGATTAGTTAGAATTGAAAGTTGAAAGACTTTTTCTGTCATTTGACACAAAGTAAGAGACGTGAATGGTAAATAAACCACTTTTCTAGCCTTTGTATTTTTCTCTGACAGGATGTACGGTTGAGATTCATGGGATCCGTGCCAAATTCGACGCTGGGGATTCGTGGTGCCGTAATTACGCCACGTAAGCAAAACGATATCCAGTCTGTGGAGTTAGTTAAAACCGGAGCAAGCGCCTCGTTCCACTCGCTTCACTGTGTCACCCTTCTTCTTCTACAGTCTTTCTCCCGCTCGCTCTTTCGAATTGCCGCCATGGAACTCGGCGTCTCCGCCGCCTCGCAATCCCTAACTCTGCTCTCCTGCACGCAATTGCCGTCCACGCTCTCGTCGACGAACGCAATCCGGAGAGAGTTCCTCGGCTGCGGCCACAACCTCCGTCCTCCCGGCGGACTGCTCCGCTCCCGGGAGGCAAAATGCCGGAAGGTCAGGATTCGGAAAGGCCGGCCTCCTCGGCGATTTGTGATGGCGACGAACTCAGTGATGCTCGTTGTCGCCGTCACCACCGTCTCTGCTGTTTCCGTTTTCTACTTGAACCGGTACTTGAAGACGAAGAAGACGCAAGGGAAGGAGAGCTCCGATGAGGTAATGCTGAATTTCTCTTAACTTCGAAACTTCCATTCCGTTCCGTTCTCCATACTTGAGATTTTGCTGTCGAATTTGGCAAGTCCAAGCCACCACCGGCTGAGAAATGCTAGCAATTTTAGAGCGTATGATCCGCGTATCAATTTCCGGTAGCTTATGGAAGCTGTCTTAATTGTTAATTCGGTGGATTAACGGAAAGTGAAATGCTAGATGGATGCTTTGCTGTCTGAAATTACGGAGAGTGTAGAAATTTGCAGGAATCTAAGTTAAGTCTATGTGAAATTGAATCTTTTATCCCATTTGCAAATGCAGGAGTTGGCATCCTTAAATTCATTATTGACACATCTGAGCTCGAGCATCATGAGCCACGTTAGTGGTAGTCGAAATTTACGAATCGGTGATGCTCAGAATGGGGTTTCTCAAGCTCAAAGTGAAGATGTCATGGTGAAGGAAGATGAGAGAATCTCCATATCGGTGACCACCGATAGGCATGTACAGGTTCAGGAGATGCATTATGGTTCAGGACTGGCTGAAACTGTGGAGTCTCCTGCTGCGGTTTTCGCTTCTTCTACTGCTTTAGATTATGCGGATTCAAAAGAATCTGAAACTGCTCTTCTGTCTCCTTCTTCACCTTCTGTGACTGCTGCTTTGCCTCTTGTATTTGATAGAGAAACGTCTGGATTCGTGCCAGAGAATCCAAGAGAAGAAGGCGACACATCTGTGCACAAAAGCGCCAATGGACAAGTTCAGGGGACACATAACGGTTCTGTGATCACTGAAATGAAGGAATCTTGGGCTGCTGATTTCCAGGCCTCTACTGCTCTTAACAATGTGGCTCACAAAGATTCTGAAGCTGTTGAGTTATCTTCTCCACCTTCTGTGGTGAGCCTGCCTGAAGCTGGTGATGTGCGTTCATTTATCTTTGTGGAAGAAACTGTTGACTCTCCATTGGAAAAGAATGGTCATATTCCACAACTGAAGTCTGATTCAGCTGATGAAGTGGCGAGTGCAGAATCTAGCTCTATTTCCTTAACTAGGGATGTTGAATCAGGAGAATTGGCTGACATCAATAGCTATTCTGACTCCATTGAAGAATCTATAAGGGAAGGTCTTCACACATTTTTTCAGTCAAAGGAATCAGTAGTCAAATCTGATGCAAAAAAAGTTGGGTTCAAAGCAATGTATTCTAGTTCCTCATTGCAGAGTAGAACCCTTTTTTCTTCTTTGAAAGTGAATTCTGCACGGAAAGGGGCAGAAGTATCCACACAGACATCCTGTCAGACTCCAGGTTTCCATATAAAGCATGTAGTTTCTTCTTGGTTTGAGCTGATTCAACTTCCTCTGGACACCAAGAATTCAGAAGTTTAACTAGTATTTGTATTCCACAGAAAACTTAAACGGGAAAGTACATCAGGATAATGTTGAAGGGGACTCTGTTGAAAAAAGTACGAGAACAGGAAGCATCAAAGCAAACAACAAGGGAAGTGGGCGTCTTAAGCACGAGAACCGTGGAAAGCCATCAAAGCTCCCAACTCCTAATGGATTTCATGCGAATGAGAACAACAAGCCTCCAGAACAGTTCAATGCGTACAATTATTTGCTGAAGGACGGCAGGTGAATGTTACTGTGTGATGCACAAGGCTCTTTATTTTCGCTACCCCCCTCCTTTCAAGTGAGATATCCTAACAAACATAGGTTACTTTCACGTCCTCTTTCAGGTTAGTTGAGTGTGTAGATTTTCTGGAAGACATGGACAGTAAGGGCTTCCTAGACATGAACAAGGTTGCTTCTTACCTGGGTCATTATTCACTAACATTATTTTAGAATTTGAGCTCTGGTCTCAGTAACCTATTAAAATCTCTGGTTTTAGGTCTATCATGCTAAGTTTTTTGACATGTGCAAACGTCAAAAGGCTGTTAAGGAAGCTTTCCGTTTCTGCAAGCTAATTCCAAATCCAACATTAAGTACGTTTAACATGCTCATGTCTGTGTGTACAAGCTCACAAGACTCTGATGGTGAGCCAATTATACCATCTTGTCTTAGTTTTCAGTCGTCTGCCATACCGTATTCTAAACATGCTATAATTTTTGGAAATTGTTTGTTCCATTAGGGGCATTTCAAGTTTTAAGACTTGCGGAGGGTGCTCGATTGCAACCTGATTGCAAACTTTATACTACTTTGATATCAACCTGTGCGAAATGTGGAAAAGTTGATGCAATGTTTGAGGTACTGTAACTTCTTTGCCTATATAACCAATAGAACATTGTTCTTTTCTTTTGATTTTCTGTATATCTGATTCATCACGGCACGTATTATGTTTTGTGCTTGTACCCTATCCTCCAATTCCTTAATTTCGGGTGAAATTTCTTTGGTAGCCTTCTTCTACCCTGAGTTTATGTATTTGATATTCACTTTTCTTAGAAGTCAAGGTTGAAGACCACCCCATGGTATGCCCTTAAGTTTTATGCTAGTGGCTACCTTCCCATCTCTATTTACTAGAAATACTGTTCTCTCAGGATCCCTCAATGCCTGTTTTCTGTGATCACTTCATTAAGATTGCAAACATCTCCTGGATAACTGCATACTCATTTTCTCACCTCCACCTTTTTGGTTCATGGAGAGTTTTGTCAATCTGAAACCTGTTGTTCAGCTAGATTTTTGTTGGTGGAACCAGAGTTTAGGAATCTTTAGGCTTCAACTTATTGTAAGACAAAGGACAGGCCATGTTTTCTTTTGCTATGTGAAGAACTCTTGAAAGTGCCTTGTTTCCAAAACAGAAAATTTTCCATTCAGGGGTTTACCTGCCCTGCTGAACATCTTACTGAGGATTATGATTAAAACTGTCTAGGTTTTTCATGAAATGGTGAATGCTGGAGTTGAACCAAACCTCCATACCTATGGGGCTCTAATTGATGGGTGTGCTAGAGCTGGACAAGTGGCCAAGGCATTTGGTGCGTATGGCATAATGAGGTCAAAGGTAAACTAGCGATTTTTTTCTTTTTCTTTTCGAACTTCAAATAGCTACAAATAAGAGATAATGTAGGGTTCACGTTGGTGTCCTTACTTCTTTCAATTCAATCTTGCTTTATTTCTTTTTTTCCTGTACCTTCCTTGACTGAGGTTGTGGTTGTGGATCTGCTTGTTACTGTCTCAAATGTATCTTCACACTGATAAGATGTTTTATGCAGTAGAATTTGAAGCCAGATCGAGTTGTCTTCAATGCACTTATCACTGCATGTGGTCAATCAGGAGCCGTGGATCGTGCCTTTGATGTATTATCAGAAATGAAGGCTGAGATACAGCCTATTGATCCTGATCATGTTACTGTTGGTGCATTGATAAAGGCATGTGCAAATGCTGGTCAGGTTGACAGGGCAAAGGAAGTTTACAACATGCTTGATAAGTATAAAATCAAGGGCACTCCAGAAGTTTATACAATCGCCATTAACTGCTGTAGCGAGACTGGCGATTGGGACTTTGCTCATCGCGTGTGTGAAGACATGTTAAGAAAAGGCGTCCTCCCTGATGAGGTACTACATAAGTTGACAATATTGGCGATCGGTTGAGCCAGAAGAATCAGGGCGATGTTATTAATAATGGTTTAGTATAGATAAGGGTGATAATTCAATGATGCCTTTCTGGAGCTAGTTTAAAGCTACCCGTTTGATAGATGAAAAAGCTATGTAGATTTCCACATGCAAGCTGAATTTTGTACGTGATTTCCAGTGAAATTGGATTCATTTGTTTGCATCGATAGGGTTTCTTTCTTATGGTTCTCTACTTTTTTCCTTCCAGATGTTTCTAAGTGCATTGATTGATGTCGCTGGGCATGCCGGAAAAGTCGATGTAGCATTTGAAATCCTGCAGGAGGCAAGAAAGCAAGGATCAAAACTTGGAGTTTTGCCTTATAGCTCTTTGATGGGAGCTTGTAGCAATGTATGTATCTTGTTACAATCCTGCCTCTGTTGTGGAAGAGTATGTTTCTAATGATTCATTTCTGAATTTAATGGTTACTTGGATATTATTTCCCCCAGGGATGTCAGAGAAACTTGTAGATATATATTTCATGCCTATTTTTCGCATACAAACTAGTTTTGCATGCAGAGAAAGAAGCTACAGAAATGGGAAAGATAACAAAGTAATAAATTTATGTTAAGTTCAGCGGCTGCTGTCCTAGATAACAAAAATTCCAAATAGTAATTGGAACTTGCTAATGCAGTTGGTTTCTGTTCTACTCTCTGTTTCAGGCTAAAAACTGGCACAAGGCACTGCTCCTATATGATGATATGAAGGCATTCAAACTGAAGCCAACAGTTCCAACCATGAATGCGTTGATCACTGCCTTATGTAAGTCTGTGTAAAATGATTTTCAAAGAGAAATGTGTGGCCTCGTTTTATAAGACTTTTTTTATCAATGATTTTCAAAAGCCATAGACAACTCATAAAATTGAAAGTTGAGTGGGATAGTAATTTTAACTATGCTGTCCTGCAGGTGATGGAGGCGAACTGCAAAAGGCTATAGAGATGCTGGCAGAAATGAAGAGCTTTGGCCTGAAGCCAAACACCATTACATACTGTGTTCTCTTGGTGGCAAGTGAGAGGTAATATTGCTAGGTGCAACATAGAGCTCTATATACATATCTTATATTTGCCTAATTCGTAACTCTCAGGGTTTGTCGAGACTTCTTATTATTGTTTATTCGATTGACAGAAACGATGATCTCGAGGCTGGTTTGATGCTTCTTTCTGAGGCAAAAAGAGATAATGTGACACCCACCCTCCTCATGTACAAATGCGTAATTGGTAAGCTTGAGGGAACTGCTGTCTTCATTTTCCATCTTTCTGGAGCAGTACATCATTGGATCTGAACATTTGCTCTCATTCTTGATCATTTTAAAGCTGGATCTATATAGCACATCTCTTCCGTATTTGACTGTTCCGAAGCTACCTTCATTTGACTGACTTGAAAAATAATTTCAGTGTGGATATACTTGTCAATGCTTTGACATCCATCCTAGAGTTTACATATTTTAGGGCCCAACCGAAGGTATAGATGAGGATCTAACTTGTGTGAATCGTGGGAGAGATGACATGTGGAGTTTGTTTTAGGTGTAACATAGAGAGATGTTGATGACCATATGTTCTTGCTTTCTGCTGGTGGACTAGTCTTCAATCCTTTCAACTGAAACCTTAAGTTGGAATGATTTATGAATATCTGTTCTGAGATTCATTATCTATACTTTCATTGAAGGCCTGTGTGTACGTAGATACGAAAAGGCTTGTATCCTCGGCGAGCCAATCCTGTCCAACACAAGACAACCACAAATAGTAAATCAATGGTATTTAATCCTCTTCTCCTTCAGTCAAACAGTTTAATATACACTTCTACCTTATGTTGGGGTTTGAATTTATAGTTTCCCGCAACACATTAGATTTGGTTACCATATCACCCTCTTGAATATTCTCCTCTATGAAGAATTTCCCTAAAATTTCCAAACACCTGCTATTTCTTATTCAGGACGACACATGCCTTAAGGGTATACCGTGAAATGATTATTGCTGGTGAGCAACCAACGATGGACGTTGTTTCACAAATTCTGGGATGCTTGCGCCTCCCAAGTGATCCTTCAGTGAAGGACAGACTTGTTGAAAATCTGGATGTAACTGCCGACGACTCGACTAGACATTCTTCTAACCTATGTTCATTGGTTGATGGATATGGAGAGTACGATCCCCGTGCCTTTTCAATTATAGAGGTCAGAAAGCAGCTGCTTAGGAGGTTTTCTGAGTACATACTTCGCTATAAATTACAGTATTCGGATCTATACGTCTTGACTTGATTGCCATGTACAGGAAGCTGCTTCTTTTGGAATTGTTCCGTGTTTATCTTACAAACAAAGTCCGGTTATGGTTGACGCCAAAAGGATGGATACTCGTATTGCTGAGGTGAGCCATGTTTTGCATTTCGACATATTCAGTAGATAGAATGTTAACTAGACTAGCAAACTGATTATGAACTGTGAGTCTGTGACCTCTGGTAATGACGGTAGCCAGGCAAAGTTATATAGAATCAATACACTGTTTTAGAGTATCATAGAGTCATGAGACTTGAGATATATTTCATCTTGTATCTTGTTAGGGTACATCCACTTTTTGGGTGTACTATTATACGTTCACTTTTCACAACTCAGTGCAACATATGTGGTTACAGGTCTACATAATGACAGTTTTCAGAGGTCTGAAGCACCGGCTTGCAGCTGGTAAGTGACTATTTGCTTGTTTTTGTTTCTTTTTAAGTATTCAAGTTGCATTCCATCAGCTCTCGAAGTCTGGAGAAAAAACTAAACGAGAGTTTCTATGAAGAATGAAGGTGATGAAATACTTGTGTGTGCTATTTGAGCTTCTGCTTCTGGAAAGCACCATCTATATTTTTCCATCTGCGTGACTGTTGTGACATAGTTTTGACATCCTACCCTGTATTAACCACTTTGTGCAAACTGGTGGCAATGGAATCTATAGTTTATTTACCTTTTCTTCCTAATGTTCATTCCCAGGTGCCAAGTTGCCCAATGTAACCATTATACTGCCAACAGAACAGGCGAAAATCGCGATTCCTAAACAGGAGAAAACAATAAATCTTGCAGGAAGGTATGGACTATATTTTTCTGAAGAGCTAGTTGGTAGGATAGCTCTGCTGTTCCAGTTTGAAGGATGCTTTAGCTCTTCTGTGGGAGCTAGGAATAGATGAGTTAAATTCTATAATTGCCGGACTGCAAGCTAGATTCTGAATTTCTCGAGTTCTTTGCTTGCTATTAACACAGGGTTGCTCAGTCAGTTGCGTCGTTGCTGAGAAGGCTCGGAGTAAGCTATCAAGGCAATGAATCTTACGGAAAGATCAGAATAAACGGGATCACTTTGAGACGATGGTTTCAACCAAAGCTTGCTTCTCCTGCTTTTACTGGGAAACCAAACGAGTTTGAACCCAATCTTACCGGACTTTCGTTCCAATCACGAATAGGAAAGGGAATTAGTCATCAGCAGCGTGATATACGAACCGGCAATTTGTCGTTGGACTGAAACAGTCAGGACGACCAAACTAGAACAGCTCCAATTTCTCATTTGGCAGCATCATTTTGACACAAGAGCTAGCTACTCCACCTCCTACAAGAATCACCCGGGATTGGTCTTGTCGCCCATTTTCAGGCCACGTGGTTTCTTTTATCTGTCTTCCTACAAGAATGGTGGAGTTGTTCAAGTTCCCGCGGCAGCAAGCAATGCAATATCATCAGGCTAGTTTCAGTTGTCTTCATTTCCTGTATCTTCTAGCTTTGAGAGGCTAGATTAAGGTGGGGGGAAGAAGAAAGACAATACGGAGCATAAATTGCACGATTTGTATGATATATAGTTCTGCATACGCCCTGTAAAATACCGGCAACTGAAACAGGTTGTCGATTTTGAAGAGATTCGAGTAGCTGGAAGAAAGAAAAAAGAAAGAAGAAGCTGCGATAGCATTGTTGGATGAAAAATAAATCCGCTATCAGCTGCAACTCTACAATGGGAGGGAAAATGTATGGTGTTTGTTACAATTGAAACGACCCTCCTGTATTTATCTTACGATTCCAGGAAGGCTCAAAAGAATGTAGTATATATGTATGCATTCTCTAAGTATACTTGTGTACTGTGTCTGTGTGAGATTATTGGTGATCTAGGAGGTCAAATGAGAAGCGATGACGGCGATGAAGTCGTGTTCGTGGCAGGGGATCGTCAGGGCACCCTGCGGCGGATTGTAGCCGAACTCTTCCTCAGCTAGCTGAAGCAATTCCAGGAACAGAGGGTTGCTGAGAAATGAGATGGGAACTATGAACCTCTTCCTCTCCACTTGTCCAACGTACACCGCAATGTGACCTTTGGGAACGCTCCTCCTCGAACCCCGTCTCACCTTGTCAGAAGACGATGAAGATCGCGATGATGACGACGATGTTGAAGAAGAGGAGGAAGAAGAAGACTGCCTCTTAAGAATGTCGAGAATCCCCATTCCGTCGTTTCGTGCTGTAGATTTCGGTGTGTCAGAAAGCAAGTGAAGCTCTTCCTTCTGGGTTTAGGAGGGAGAAGAGTTTGTGAAATCCGAGTGAGGGGTTTGGTTTTGTTTTGTTTTGTTACTGAGTTGGGAATGAGAGATGGTGATGTGGGGAAACTGCAGAAGGAGAGTACTTATACAAAGATAGGGACAGGAGACTCTGGAGTCAAAGCTAGCTAAGTAAGGAGAATGGCGGTTGGAGGAAGGAAGGGCAGTGGTTCATGGGAAGAATCCTTGTAATATAATTCAGTTAGCAGAGACTTTTTCAACTGGTGCATGCATGATTTAGCCCCATCCATCCACGATGGAAAGGAATAACATAACGCGATAATTTAATTATATCATTATTTCAAAAGGGTGCAATTGGGTTCCAAGAAAGCAGGGGAGTGTGTCGTACTGCTGCTGCTCAAGTCTGGAAAGTTGAAAAAAGGGAACAACCGCCACCGTACAACACGGCGGAGCAGAATATTATTGGCGTCGGCGGGAGAGAGAGAGAGAGAGAGAGAGAGGGCGAACACGTTTTCTTCTTCCGCGGTGCAAGTTGGTATTGATGATCATAAGTAGTGAAACAAACCTGCCAGAATGCAAGCCAAGTAGATAGCTAGCTGCAAAGGTCAAGGGAACCTTCGTCTATCTTCGGAAGGGAATGTTTATATGCTATGCTAACAAGACAGAGAGAGAGAGAGAGAGAGAGTACAGAGCCAGCGCCATATCTCTGTTCTGTGAATTGTTAATTATTTCACTGCTGTCAGTTGCATTCTTTTATATGTTGGGGGAGGAGAAAAGATGGGAAAGAAAGAAGGTTCTTCTGACTTTTATTTATGGGTTAGTATTCTTCTCTGTTCGATCCTCTTTTCCAAGCCAGTAGTGCTCTTTCTCATATTATCTCTTTAAAAGAACAAGTTACAACTTTACTGTTTGGTAGAGTCACATCCCGCCACTGTTACTTTTTGCTTTTTACTTTTTACTTGTTCTCATCATTTCTCAATTGGCTTTTCTACGTTTTGGAGTTGGGTAAAGTCACTTCCATTGGTGCACTCTTCAAGATCTTTGGCATGCTTGAGTCACTTCCCTCTGACAACCAAGACTTTTCTTCCTCTACTGTTTCTTTGTTGCTTTACTATCCCACATTTCCTTATCCTTCCCCTCTCTCTCGCATACCCTTTCCCAAGCACCCACTCTCCTCTCTCTCTCTGCTGAGAAAGAAGAAAATGGACAGAAAGAAGCCTCTCGTATTACGTTAGAAGGAAGAGGAAGGAAGAGGAAAGAAGCCTCTCCTTAGTGTCCCATCCAAAGGGTGACCTTTTGGTTATTTCCCACAATTTAGGACCAATAGTGTAATTATATTCTTCTTTTCTTTATTCTTTCCATTCCTCTCTCTTGCTTTATTCCCATCCACTCAAATTCACTCTTTCCCGTAAACCCTTCCTCCCACACATCAATCAATCTTCATCCCTCCCTCTCTCTCAATGGGAGCAGAATAGTGCTACCACACACAAAAAAACCAGAAAAGTGAAAGAAGAACAGAAGATAGGAAGAAGAAAACCAGGAGGGGAAAGGGAGGAATGAAAACCCCGCCCACCTGTGCTCTCCTTGGCTCCCTTGCTCTCCCCATCCACATGCGCTCTCCTTGATCCAGCTCCGCCGTTGTCCCTGTCTCTCTCTGTGATTGCAAATCTCCGAAATCGGCGATGCAGCGGCAATCCTCCAAGCTTGCCAAGGAAGGAGGGTTGTTCGACGGCTGGTGGTCTAGATCGTGAGTTTTCTTTGCTCTCAGTTTTTCGACGGCGATCTCATTTCTCTCCATCTGCTTTCTCTCTCCGTTAGTTTTTCTGAGTTTCTTTGTTCTCTTCCTTGGGTAGAATTTCCTTCCTCTGTTTTTCCTACTCGAACCATTAAGAGAAGGGAAGTTGTGGACGACCCCGGTGCGATGGGAAGGTCGGTCATGGATGTCGGTGATGATCCCAGTTATGAGTGAGCTGCTTTCCGTTTTGAATATTTTATTTTTGGGGATTTTTTTTTTTGGCTTGAATTCTGGTTACTTATCTTTTACTTCTTGGTTTTGCTATCACGAAAACGTACGTTGATTCGTCCGCTGACGTCGGCTGTTGTCACAATAGAGGAACTTGCCCGGCCGCAGATGAACAGTTATCAACGTCGACAAAGGTCAGTTTTTTTATGTATGTATTTCCTTTTTCGGTTTTGGTATGTTTGGAATTTTTATTTTAAGTTCTGCTAATCTGACCAGACCTTTTCTTTTTGGGTTTTCGGGTGAGGGCAATAGGAAGGATAATGTAAGAGTTGTTGCCGGTGTAGATTTCCGAAGCCTGCAAAGTAGCAACGAGGGCTGGCCGTTGCTCTCTAGGTAAGCTTCTTCTGTTTGGGTTAAGCTTCTTCTGTTTGGGTTTTGAATTTGTTTTGATTCTGGATGGCGCCTTTCTTTGGAGTGGTTCTGATATGTTTACTTTTGATTCCAGCCAAGGGAAGAGGGAGAAGGAGTCTCGGCCCTTGGACAGCAGCAGTGTAGCTTGCTTGCCCAGGTAGAAAATGCGTCTACTGTCTAGGTAACTTTTAATTTTTCCAGTGTATTTGGTGATTCGATTTTTCCTTGGATGGATTCTGTATGTTTGGTAGAGATTATGCTGTACACGACCAACATGGCAGTGGGGTGGGGATAAAGGGAAGGTTAGAAAAACATGAGGATTGAGGATTAGAGTTCAATATTAATGAAAGAAGCAATTTTAGAGAAACGAGGGGCTTGAATCATGGGAAATCTTCCGACCCATCTGGTGGAGAGTTTATTTTGGATTCGATGGATGGTTTTGTTTGATTGAAGTCGTTCATGCTACTCTTTTTCCTTTTATTTGTGTTTATTGCAATATTAGTTTGAACTAATATTTTTACTGACCATTTGGTTTGTATCACTGTATGCACTCATATTAGAGGATCGATGGAAAACCTTTTGTTGCTGGGAAGACTAAGATGCAAGTGGCGATTCAGTGAAGGAAGTCAGAAACCCACAAAAGGTGATCTTAGTCCTCTGAACTTCATGTTCCCAATGGTTGTTATGCTAAAATTGTACTTGCTAGCAGAAGAGAAAATTGTAAATTACCTTCCTCGATTTGGTTTGGTTCGTTTCTATTCTTTCCAAGAAGTTACTCAGTTAGGAGAACAAAATGCAGGAACAAGGCTCGATTTTAATTGCTCGCTTGGAGAGTAGGGAAGACATGTTCATTGCATGCAAATGATGATTTCCAAGAAACTTGCAGCAAACAACTTGGAATTGGCATGGGTTATTGGGTTTCAATCTACTTGAAATTGCTTTATTGAACCTCTAGATCAGTGTTTCCAATCTATGGCCATATTTTGAGTTCATAGTTTAATTGATTCTTCGGTTTTTGAATTTTGTTTTCAACCGTTGCTTGGTGCTGCTTTCGGGTTTCAGATTGTGGCACCAAAAATTGTATACTGCCATTTTCAATTTGCGTTTCAATCTTCCAGTTTTTCATGTTATCTTTTAATCAAACACAGACTAATTGGTGTTTTGAGGTTGGTACTTTCATGGGTTAGGATCCTTTTGGAAGTTCAAATTCTTCATTAATGCCATGAAACTCTCTAGCATACCCATTCCTTGATTTGACCTCATTTTAGTTGATTTCGAGTTGGTTGATAGGCTTTGTGAATTTTAGGAACATCAGATGCCTGGATGTGAGTTGTTGGATCCACGGTATCGGGGAGTTTGTTGATTTCTATACGAAAAGGGTGGACATCCTTCCGTTCGAGGTAATTACTGGTTTGTTCAATATCAAAAGTCACTTGCCTCTTTGTCTGGTTTTTATTGACACTTGCTTCACTAAACTACAAGTAACCAACTCATTCAGTTTTTATATGCTCTCACTTAAGAATATGTTGTTGGGAGTAATGCTGCTATAATGTGGTGTCGTTGTTGAGCTTCTTTTGATTCTGGGGATGAGTAAATACCGTGACTGGTTCTCATAAGTTGTAGGGATGCGAGGAACTGGCTGGTGCTGAAATCGTTTCTGTTGACGAATTCTTAATTGTCTGTATATTGAGTTCAATTACAGCTTGCGGTTTGGCTGTCTCAGGTTGTTTAGGAAAGCTTGGCCTCGATTAATAACTGAGTTTGCAGAGGTTTGTAAGGATACCATGTTGCTGGTTCTTATAAAATTATATTATGCCTTTGTTTTTTTGGCATGGGAATGGCGCAAGGGAGGTTGTCAGGGAAACAACGGAGGGTCATTTCTGGCCAGGGTAACGGTGGAGGTAAGACATGTGAATAGAAGAGGGAAGGAAAGGTACACGGGATTACAAGCAAATCCACGTCTTAACACGAAAACCACTTGTTTCGAGTGATGGGATCTACAATTCGCTTAAGGCTGGAATAAAAAGGTAGGTGACGACCTTCATTTTCTGTTTTCAATTTCTGCTCACTTGCACATGAGAGTTTGTTTAATCCTTCCCGTTAGAAATACAGCCTGTGCGGTATTTTTCTGTATACTCAGTTCGATTACAGTTGGTGGTCTAGCCATCTTTGGTTGTTTAGCTAGCATTGCCCTCGATTGACAACAGTTTGTAGATATATTAAAGGATACCATGTAGTTGGTACTTATAGGGTTATCTCAAGTGACCACGAAGACCACTGGAGTGGTTCTTACTACTGGTTTTCAGCTAGCAGGTTAGTTTCGGTATATATGTTCTTAAACAGAGTATCTTTTAAAATGGATAGAAACAATAGAAGCTATCTCAAAAGTGTAATCTGGTTTGAAAATGTCCTCTGCAAATATGATGCTTTTGAATTTTCATAATTATTTTAGGTCAACCAGATTTTGAAACTATTGATAAGTTCTCTTTATTTGCAGATTGTTACTTTCTTTAAATCGCATTTTTTTTCTTTCAATTGATTGTATGATTTGATCTTGGCTGGAATAAAAAGGTAGGTGACGACCTTCATTTTCTGTTTTCAATTTCTGCTCACTTGCACATGAGAGTTTGTTTAATCCTTCCCGTTAGAAATACAGCCTGTGCGGTATTTTTCTGTATACTCAGTTCGATTACAGTTGGTGGTCTAGCCATCTTTGGTTGTTTAGCTAGCATTGCCCTCGATTGACAACAGTTTGTAGATATATTAAAGGATACCATGTAGTTGGTACTTATAGGGTTATCTCAAGTGACCACGAAGACCACTTGAGTGGTTCTTACTACTGGTTTTCAGCTAGCAGGTTAGTTTCGGTATATATGTTCTTAAACAGAGTATCTTTTAAAATGGATAGAAACAATAGAAGCTATCTCAAAAGTGTAATCTGGTTTGAAAATGTCCTCTGCAAATATGATGCTTTTGAATTTTCATAATTATTTTAGGTCAACCAGATTTTGAAACTATTGATAAGTTCTCTTTATTTGCAGACTGTTACTTTCTTTAAATCGCATTTTTTTTCTTTCAATTGATTGTATGATTTGATCTTTTTTTTTTTTGCTCATGGCAGGTCCCTCCCAGAAACATGATCCGAAGGTAATGGGCATAGGTAGATGAGAAATAGACTCAGAGATGGCAGTATCATCGAGTGTAGACCAAAACGATAGGTAAATTGTTTTTCAACTGTGTTGGGCTGAAGATCCCCTCTATAATAGAATTTGTTTTTTACCTCAGGTGCAATATTGAGGTTCAGTCATTCTGTAACTTCTACTTTTGTTCTTTCTACACTTTTTTGTTTCCTAATGTGGTCTCGGTTCTTTGTTTTACCTTTTTGGCGGTGTTTTGCAGTACCAATAGGGAATGAGTTGCAGATGCAGTTGAGAGGACGAGAGCTAAATATTGTTGTTCTAAGATGAGGAGGAGAAGGTAATGTTAAAGCTTCCTATAACGGAATTCCATTTAGTCCATGTTTCCATCTCCTTCCTGATCATTTCCCTCCTTTTTATGCATTCCTTCCATAAACCTAGAGATACAAAATATTGTCATTGCTCATGTCAGTATGTTTGGATCTCAAGTGTCATCCCCATTAGATCACCAACTAGACGAGCTTATGAAGAGAGGTTTATCAGTTAGTTCCCGATATTACTTTCAATTATCGTTCCTAAAATTGAGATATGTTTCGCTCAATGTACTTTTTCCAAACTTAAGATAATGGTTTATCACAATGTCCAGTGACTCCCATAATGTGTTTAGTATGCTCTGTGAATTATTCATTGTGCTCATAGCTTCTCATTCTTACTCTACTTTCTTTGTGCAGTGGCTTCTCTATTGTTGATTCATGCTGCTTCATGGTTAGTTTTCTTCTCATGGAAATTAGCTTTCGTAGTCCTTGCTTGCTTGCTTATGCTTTAATTTGTACGCTTTGTTATCATTTATCTAACAACCTCCCATTGCCTATGCAGTAAGGACAAGACCGCTGCATCTTCTCTTGCTTCATCATGTTAAACCAGTCCGGTCTCGAACTTTTGTTCCTATGAATCCAGTTTTAAGACGTCTTATGTGTTATGTTCCAGGAAGTCCTTGCTCAATTTGCCTTCCCAACTTCCTTTCCTTGATGCCTTTCTCATCTGAATCCTTATATTAGTAAAATAGATAGAATTGTTGCACCACTGCTGTCATGGATTTGCTAACTTGAACAATTTTATCTTTTTTTACTTTCTTTATTTTATAAATTGACCAGTTTATAACTTTCTCTACTGTCATCTCATGTAGACTTTGTGGTTACCATATTCTTATCATAATGGAATATGTTTATTTTTCTCATGATGTGAAATTATTTTAATGATCAAGCAACCATATGAAGACAAAAAAAAACCCCTACTATATCTGCTAGATAATGAGTTAAAGTTTGATCAATGTTAAGTGGCTGATTGCCTGCTATCAAATCCTAAAAAACTGTGGAGTTGGTAGATGATTCATATTTTCGATTGTGTTCAATTTATTTTTCATGCACCTTATAGATTTATAGAGGTGGTATGACAATGCTATGTTTTTAAAATGACTTAATCTCCTTTCTTTTACCTATGGACTCTGCTGGTCTGTCGTTTCAGAATTTCAGTTAGGTAGGTGATTCTTCCTTATTCACCGATCTCACTCCCCTTTCGCAGCCTGCTCCATGGGACTTGCAAAGCTCCTTTACATGCTATATTGTTGACCTTCAATGGTTTCAACAATCATCCCAACAGTTGAGTCCCGCCGCGCAGCGCGGGTTTTCCGTTCTAGTATCCATAAGACCATAACCTATCGTGACCCCCAGCCACTGCCAATCATCAAATCCACTTGGCTTTTCCCCCTTATTTCTGTTCTTTTTTGTTAGTTAAGTACACTCTTTCTCATCCAGAAATCAATGGACCATGTTTGCCTACTTTGCTTGTATCACCAACTTTCAAAAACAAAAGTTCGTTACTACAAGTCTACAAGTTGTTCGTTTATTGATTATTTGTACTTACTACTTAAAAAGAGAGAAGATATGGAATTTCTTTACTTAATACCGTTAGCATGTGGTGCAAGATCCATTATGAAAAATTTCTCAACAACTCGAGTTATTGGGATCGACTAGTTTTTGACATTATATCATATTCTTTTGTGACCAAGAGGTCTTCTGTTCGACAGCCGATGACCCCCATTTGTTAAGCACATTGGTATTCAATTATGTGCAAAATTCAGTCCAATTGAGTACCCAGTACTTAGGCTTTCTTTGGAGAGGGTGTGTTAGTAACTGGTGTATGATGCATAATTAAACATCTCCCACAACTCGACTTATTGGGATCAACTGTTTTTTGACAAATATTTATTAGACTAGTTATAAAAAATTAGATTAACTCACATTTAGCAAGTACATTTTTCAATAACTTACATATCACACACTACGTATTACAAAAATTATGCCAGATAACTTTGGACATGTACGCGGTCTCAGTTTTCTCTTCTTAATCAACCATATCTTCTTTGTCAAGGGGAGGGAGCTAGGGAGGAAGAAGCGAGTTAAGTTGGCTTGGATAATTTGGGTATTAGTCACAAATGCATAATCAAGAATCAAGGGTTATACATCCTATTATATAGGGGTCCAATTGCAAAGCAATATTCGATCATGAAGGATAATCTTATTTTGTTTCTGTTAATGTTAAATATTGACAGCCAAATGAGGTCTACAGTCTACATCAAGATTGTCATCTACTTAGTTGATTAGGTTTTCGATTACAACTAATTGATTAAATTTGGTAACACTATTAGTTTATTGAAAATTTCAGATAGCCGCGGACATCCGGCCTATTGACTATATATGTACGTTCCTCGAACTTTATGTCAATTATTGGTCTCCAAGGAATACAGCTAGCTTAGCTAGCTGACACATGAATCCATAAATATATGTATGTGTTTATTTCAATAACATATATATACATATTATTTGACTAATGCATTATTATTAATGGTGTTCAAAATGGAGGGGGGGGGGGGGGAATCACATAAATTAATGAAAAAAATTGAAGGAGGGTACTGGTTTCCTGAAATGTATTCATGAACTATATGTTATCTATTTTTAAAAAACATTCTACATAAATTATCCCAAATTTTAACTATAAAAATTATTTTGGATGATTGTAAAAAAATTTGAAACTAAAAAATTTCTAAAATAAATTATTCTATCTGGTATGTCATCTTGACTCACCTATTAAACCGACACAATAATTAATACGACAATTATATATTTTATTAATTTATCTTACTTTCTGATAACAATCTCTCCTCGTCGAAATAAACAAATCAAGTATTTAATTGTTCATTCGTCTTGATCGAAAATCCTTGCACAGGGTGGCGTCTGTACTATTGTAAACTGCAATGTGCCCTTTTGGCACTGCGGCGTGGTGATCATTTGATGGTAATGGAAAGTTATGTTGAGAGTAGTGTTGCTGCTGCTGATAATGGTGGTGTTTTTTCTTCATAATCTTCTTGGCTCCGACCACCATTGATGAAGGCAACAAGCTCCTTATCCCCATTATTGTTGTTGTTGTTGTTGTTGTTGTTGTTGTTGTGTTTTGGATCGGATTTGTGTTTTGCAGTGAGCAGAGGAGTTGATGGAAGAAGAGAGTTTTTTCTAGAGTTGGTTGGAAATATGGGGTTTGGGGGCAGAGGTATTTATAAATGAGAAGGTGGGGAAGGATTAAGGAATAAGGGGGGATGAAGGTGGGAGGAATGGGAATATTTATTTTATTTTATTTTGGGATGTAAATATGTAATTACTATGGGGTACTTGTTGTTTGTACTAATTAACAATATGGTCCTTGTTTTTGTTTTCATGGACAAACAAGTAAGTAACACTAAAATACTAAGAGAGAATATGTATGTTTAGCGAGCTATGCCTATAACAATTTGTCCGCCTCTCACTTGGTCTTGTTTGAACTTTGAAGGCATCTAATATGTCGCTTAAGTTAGATAATGTTTGGTTTATTGTACGTCTTGTTTGATTGCCTAATTAACTCTCTAACGATTAACAGCCTCATAAAGCATATACTACAAATTTTACTGAAATATACCAGAATCCTCTTAAGGCATATCCGAAATCTCTTAAAGCATACCGCAAGTTCCCAGAAGCAGACTAGAAATCTCATAAACCATATCATCAATATTTTAAAGACTTATAAGAAAAAATAATTTTATACTCTAAATCTTGAAATTAATAAAGTTTAGGTAGGTAGTAAATTGTAATTTGCAGATGTAACCCACTTTCATGAGACTCATGGAGAATGAACTATTATAACTTACTAGTGATAGTTACTAAAATACCCTTATAATTAATGTTAGTAAGTGTTATTTATTAGCATTCTATCTGATCGGCAATAAGACATGTAGACGGTTCAAATCTCTCATTATGTATAAAGTATTTGTTGGGGGTATTACCTAGCAACTAGGAGTTCGGACTCCCAAAAAAGGAGAGTTGGGGGGCAAGGCCCGAAAAAGGATCCACTAGAAGCCCTTGGGCCCAGACAAGGGGAAGGGCCCAAAGAATAAAACACTAAAGGCCAAAATGAGACCAGCTGTCTGGGGGACCACTGCCTGCGGGCGCCTGTCATGTGTCAGGAGTCTGACAAGGCAGTTGGATGTCTCACAAAGGGAACACAGAGCATTAAATGAGGGCAGTGACGTGGAGGAGATCAACCTCGAGTTCGGGGAGTATAAATAGGGGCAGTCGGTAGCATTTATGCAGGTGGGACTCTCTCTCTCACCAAAATTACTATTTGAGAACACTTCACTCTCTCACTCTCTAAGGAACTAACTTGGGCGTCGGAGGATTAACGGGCCGAGGCGCCCTCCTCTTTGTGTGTGTAGGCAGACGCCGGGCAAAAGGGGGACGTCCGAACAACGAGGGAGTATCGTGGCACAAACAATTGGCGCGCCAGGAAGGGGAATATAACCAGAGATCATGAGTGAGGAAATGGAGGTGAGTGATGGAAGGGAAAGGGAGGAAATCACGGAGGACCAATCGGAACGATCAAGGGGGCTGGCGCCCGAGATGGATGAGAGGGAGGAAAGTGATTATATGTTTCGAGGGTCGGAAGGCGCCTCAATGACGAAGAGAGAGCTGTTCAGAATCATTGAGGACCAAGAAGGAGCAATCGAGGCGCTCCGAAAGGAAGTCGACGCCCTCAAGAGAGGTGGAGGAATGACGCCCAGCCCAACGAAGAAAAGAGAAAGGATGGCGGAAACGGAAAGTGAGTCGGGATATCAGAGGCGCCCCAGTTCGTGGCGCCCGCGAGAGTACGATGGGCCAGAGACGGGAGGATGGAACGGAGGAATTTTGGGACGTCTATCTCATCACGGACCCGTGAGACTGCCGTTGGCGCGTAACATACTAACGGAGCCAGCAGGGACCAACATTCCCCCGCTCCCCACCTATGATGGAACCGCTGATCCAGAGGACCACCTCAACGGTTATTTCACCAAGATGCAGCTTTACAATAGTACAGACGCCACCCTGTGCAAGGTGTTCCCGTCAACTTTTGCGGGTGTGGTGCTCGATTGGTATTATCAGATTGAGGAAGGGCGCATTGAGTGCTTCGAGCAGTTCGCGGAGATGTTTCTTGCGAAGTTCGCCAGCAGAAAACGGCGCACCCTGACCATAGGCGCCCTGTTCAAGATCAAGCAAAGAGAGGGAGAGGCGTTGAGGGAGTTTTATGAGAGGTGGTTATCTATGGCCCTGGCAGTAAAAGACGTGCAACCATCAGTGTTGGGGGTGTGCCTAAACGAATGCACCACCAGCGATGAATTGTGCAGATCGTTAGCAAAGAGAGACGTAGTGTGCACTGAAGATCTGGATCACCGGGTGCAGAAGGTAATCATGCTCGAAGAAACGTTGGCGGCCAAAAGGGCCGACAGACGAAAGGCGAAAGGAGAGGAGGGGGAAACGGCGAGGAGGCCACACTTTTCAAGCGGTTCGGGATATACGCCCGCGAATCCCCCCCTCCCAGGAGGATGGACGCCGGGCGTCCGGCGCCCAGGGGACCCTTTGCCGAGTATACGGACACGCTGAAAAACGTACTCCAACATGTCAAAGAGAAGGGGTATCATATCAGGTGGCCGGGTCCCATGAGGGGACAGCCCAATGAGCGGAACCTGGATCGATATTGCGACTTCCACCGAGAGGTGGGACACCACACGACCGACTGCTATCAATTGAAAACCGAGTTGCAAGGCTTAGCCGACAGGGGGATGCTCAATGACTTCGTCAAG